TAAGAAGTTAAATTTGGAAATTAAAATACAAATCAATGGATAATGGGGCACATTCTGACTTATGTGTTGGACAACACAATATCACGCTAGTTTATCAGTCAAACTAAATCAGATCCGATTGACATGAATTAGGATGTTTAGAATTACAAATTGCAAACTACGTTAACCATTGCATTTTAATACAGGTGGGAAAAACCAAACTTTCTTAACATGCAGGCGTGATAAAATATTGTACGAACTGTTTGTTATTGTAACAAAGCTACGATTCAACTAACCCGGTTAATTTTAGTCCTAATGAGAGGTAAAAATTGGAAATAACAATACAAATCAATGGAAAATGGGTCACATTCTGACTTAATTATTGTACAACACATAATATCACGCTAGTTTATCAGTCAAACTAAATCAGATCCGATTGACATGAATCAGCATTAGGATGTTTAGAATTACAAATTGCAAACTACGTTAATCATTGCATTTTAATGCAGGTGGGAAAAACCAAACTTTCTTAACATGCAGGCGTGATAAAAGATTGTAAGAACTGTTTGTTATTGTAACAAAGCTACGAATGAACTAACCCGGTTAATTTTAGGACTAATGAGAGGTTAAAATTGGAAATTAAAATACAAATCAATGGAAAATGGGGCACATTATGACTTATGTGTTGGACAACGCAAAATATCACGCTAGTTGATGAGTCAAACTAAATCAGATCCGATTGACATGAATCAGCATTAGGATGTTTAGAATTACAAATTGCAAACTACGTTAATCATTGCATTTTAATGCAAGTGGGAAAAACCAAACTTTCTTAACATGCAGGCGTGATAAAAGATTGTAAGAACTATTTGTTATTGTAACAAAGCTACGAATGAACTAAACCGGTTAATTTTAGGTATAATAAGAAGTTAAATTTGGAAATTAAAATACAAATCAATGGATAATGGGGCACATTCTGACTTATGTGTTGGACAACACAATATCACGCTAGTTTATCAGTCAAACTAAATCAGATCCAATTGACATGAATTAGGATGTTTAGAATTACAAATTGCAAACTACGTTAACCATTGCATTTTAATACAGGTGGGAAAAACCAAACTTTCTTAACATGCAGGCGTGATAAAATATTGTACGAACTGTTTGTTATTGTAACAAAGCTACGATTCAACTAACCCGGTTAATTTTAGTACTAATGAGAGGTTAAAATTGGAAATAACAATACAAATCAATGGAAAATGGGTCACATTCTGACTTAATTATTGTACAACACATAATATCACGCTAGTTTATCAGTCAAACTAAATCAGATCCGATTGACATGAATCAGCATTAGGATGTTTAGAATTACAAATTGCAAACTACGTTAATCATTGCATTTTAATGCAGGTGGGAAAAACCAAACTTTCTTAACATGCAGGCGTGATAAAAGATTGTAAGAACTGTCGATTAGCATTATTTTCACCCCTGTGTACGCAGGTTTGTTATTTGGAAGTTCGCTAACCCAACAGACAACTGTTTTTCCAAAAACGCAATTGTGTTATCGGTGGCCTTGAAACGATGGTGGAACATTTTGGAACAAACGATTCTGAGGCGAACCGCGTTGTTTCCAACTTTTTTTGCGCAGATTTGTATATTTGAAGTTTGCCAACCCAACAAAAAAACCGTTTTTCGAAAAACACATTTCATTTATCGGTGGCCGTGGAACGACGGTGGAACAATTCGGAACAAACGATTCTGAGGCGATTAGCATTATTTTCACCCCTGTTTACGCAGGTTTGTTATTTGGAAGTTCGCCAACCCAACAGACAACTGTCTTTCCAAAAAGGCAATTGTGTTATCGGTGGCAGTGAAACGATGGCGGAACATTTTGGAACAAACGATTCTGAGGCGAACCGCGTTGTTTCCAACTCTTTTGGCGCAGATTTGTATTTACGAAGTTCGCCAACCCAACAAAACAACCGTTTTTCGAAAAACACATTACATTTATCGGTGGCCTTGACACGATGTTGGAACATTTTGGAACAAACCATCCTGAGGCCATAAGCATTATTTTCACCCCATTTTACGCGGGTTTGTATTTTGGAAGTTAGCCAACCCAACGAAACAACTGTTTTTCCAAAAACGCAATTGTGTTGTCGGTGGCCTTGAAACGATGGTGGAACATTTTGGAACAAACGATTCTGAGGCGAACCGCGTTGTTTCCAACTTTTTTTGCGCAGATTTGTATATTTGAAGTTTGCCAACCCAACAAAAAAACCGTTTTTCGAAAAACACATTTTATTTATCGGTGGCCGTGGAACGACGGTGGAACAATTCGGAACAAACGATTCTGAGGCGATTAGCATTATTTTCACCCCTGTTTACGCAGGTTTGTTATTTGGAAGTTCGCCAACCCAACAGACAACTGTCTTTCCAAAAAGGCAATTGTGTTATCGGTGGCCGTGAAACGATGGCGGAACATTTTGGAACAAACGATTCTGAGGCGAACCACGTTGTTTCCAACTCTTTTTGCGCAGATTTGTATTTTCGAAGTTCGCCAACCCAACAAAACAACCGTTTTTCGAAAAACGCATTTGTGTTATCGGTGGCCGTGAAACGACGGTGGAACATTTCGGAACAAACGTTTCTTAGGCGAACCGCGTTGTTTCCAACTCTTTTGGCGCAGATTTGTATTTACGAAGTTCGCCAACCCAACAAAACAACCGTTTTTCGAAAAACACATTCCATTTATCGGTGGCCTTGACACGATGTTGGAACATTTTGGAACAAACCATCCTGAGGCCATAAGCATTATTTTCACCCCATTTTACGCGGGTTTGTATTTTGGAAGTTAGCCAACCCAACGAAACAACTGTTTTTCCAAAAACGCAATTGTGTTATCGGTGGCCTTGAAACGATGGTGGAACATTTTGGAACAAACGATTCTGAGGCGAACCGCGTTGTTTCCAACTTTTTTTGCGCAGATTTGTATATTTGAAGTTTGCCAACCCAACAAAAAAACCGTTTTTCGAAAAACACATTTCATTTATCGGTGGCCGTGGAACGACGGTGGAACAATTCGGAACAAACGATTCTGAGGCGATTAGCATTTTTTTTACCCCTGTTTACGCAGGTTTGTTATTTGGAAGTTCGCCAACCCAACAGACAACTGTCTTTCCAAAAAGGCAATTGTGTTATCGGTGGCAGTGAAACGATGGCGGAACATTTTGGAACAAACGATTCTGAGGCGAACCGCGTTGTTTCCAACTCTTTTGGCGCAGATTTGTATTTACGAAGTTCGCCAACCCAAAAAAACAACCGTTTTTCGAAAAACACATTACATTTATCGGTGGCCTTGACACGATGTTGGAACATTTTGGAACAAACCATCCTGAGGCCATAAGCATTATTTTCACCCCATTTTACGCGGGTTTGTATTTTGGAAGTTAGCCAACCCAACGAAACAACTGTTTTTCCAAAAACGCAATTGTGTTATCGGTGGCCTTGAAACGATGGTGGAACATTTTGGAACAAACGATTCTGAGGCGAACCGCGTTGTTTCCAACTTTTTTTGCGCAGATTTGTATATTTGAAGTTTGCCAACCCAACAAAAAAACCGTTTTTCGAAAAACACATTTTATTTATCGGTGGCCGTGGAACGACGGTGGAACAATTCGGAACAAACGATTCTGAGGCGATTAGCATTATTTTCACCCCTGTTTACGCAGGTTTGTTATCTGGAAGTTCGCCAACCCAACAGACAACTGTCTTTCCAAAAAGGCAATTGTGTTATCGGTGGCCGTGAAACGATGGCGGAACATTTTGGAACAAACGATTCTGAGGCGAACCGCGTTGTTTCCAACTTTTTTTGCGCAGATTTGTATATTTGAAGTTTGCCAACCCAACAAAAAAACCGTTTTTCGAAAAACACATTTTATTTATCGGTGGCCGTGGAACGACGGTGGAACAATTCGGAACAAACGATTCTGAGGCGATTAGCATTATTTTCACCCCTGTTTACGCAGGTTTGTTATTTGGAAGTTCGCCAACCCAACAGACAACTGTCTTTCCAAAAAGGCAATTGTGTTATCGGTGGCCGTGAAACGATGGCGGAACATTTTGGAACAAACGATTCTGAGGCGAACCGCGTTGTTTCCAACTCTTTTTGCGCAGATTTGTATTTTCGAAGTTCGCCAACCCAACAAAACAACCGTTTTTCGAAAAACGCATTTCATTTATCGGTGGCCGTGAAACGATGGTGGAACATTTCGGAACAAACGATTCTGAGGCCATATGCATTATTTTCACCCCTTTTTACGCGGGTTTGTGTTTTGGAAGTTCGCCAACCCAACAAAACAACTGTTTTTCGAAAAACGCAACTGTGTTATCGGTGGCCTTGAAACGATGGTGGAACATTTCGGGACAAACGATTCTGAGGCGATCAGCATCATTTTCACTCCTGTTTACGCAGGTTTGTGTTTTGGAAGTTCGCCAACCCAACAAAACAACTGTTTTGCGAAAAACGCAATTGTGTTATCGGTGGCCGTGAAACGAAGGTGGAACATTTTGGAACAAACGATTCTGAAACGAACCGCGTTGTTTCCAACTCTTTTGGCGCAGATTTGTATTTTCGAAGTTCGCCAACCCAACAAAACAACTGTTTTTCGAAAAACGCATTTGAGTTATCGGTGGCCGTGAAACGATGGTGGAACATTTTGGAACAAACGTTTTTAAGAAGAACTGCACTTTTTCCGGGTCGATTTGTGCATTTTTACTGGTTTGAAGCTGGCCAGCTTGTTATCGAAAAACGATAACGAGCCTGGAGCCGCCCTCGTTGAGGAACAAATTGGAACAATTGTAGAACATTTTGGAACAAATCATTCTGCGTCGATTTGTTGTATTTTGAACCTTCTCTGGCAATGTGGGTTGGCCAACTTCAGGGAGGTCATCAGCTCCACTCTTGTGGAAGGGTTGACAATCCAGGAAATTCTCACATCAGTTCTTCAGGCCCCCAACACAGCACCAGTCGTGCACCCAATCAGCTTGGAAGGGAAGTTCTCCTCTCCACTGGCCAGACAAATCGAAGAGTGGTACCGAGTCAAACGAGACTTCCACTCGAACACAGACAAAACATTCCCCGGGCTGTGCACCTACAACAGAAACAACAAAACAATCATTAGTCTCATCGTCAAGGAAAAGATGGAGCACAGACCACACGTTAATGATGTAGAAATAGCATTAAACATCCTGAAAGCCTGGCTCATCAACAGAAACATCACCGAGTGGAATCTACCAGAGTTTGACTATTACAAAAGTCCAGAAAACAATTTAGAAATAATTCCACTACTCTACAAAGTATTCAAAGACACAAACATGACCATCAATATCTGTCACCACCACACCCAGCCAGACCCAACTAAGGTGAAAACTTGTGAAGAAAGTTGTCGCATTTGCCAAACAGTTGAGGAGAACAAAAGGGTCACAGAAATTCTACACACTGCAATCTCACCTGAAGGGGAAACACCACTAGAGATGGCATCACTGCAGAGAGCAGACAAAAACTTAGCCCCAATCATCGCAGCAGTAGAGAAAGGCCAGAAGCCTTCAAGATGTCATCAAGTTTGGGCGCAATACCTGAACACTTTGGCACCAATACAATTCCTTAACACTTCAAAAGGGAGTACTCTACAGGAGATTCGAGGACCCAACAGGAGACCCTGCAAAAGAAACACTCCAATTAATATTACCCAGAGCCAGTGTAAAATTCACAGTCAGGGAATACCATCAAAACTTGGGAGAAGGAAATCACTTTGGTGAAACAATGACACTCAATTACTTACGTAGGTTTTTCTGGTGGCCCAGAATGGCCGATGATGTAGCAGCACACATATCCAACTGCGACACTTGTCAAAGGTTCAAAAAACCGAGACACCCCATCAAAAATGCAGCACTCAAAATATTCAAGGAAGGAACACTCCATGGCAGGTGGCATGTAGATATTTGTGACAAAGTACCTAAAACAAAAGAAGGATACGAGTACATATTAGTGGCAATAGAGGCATTTTCAGGCTGGCCAGTTGTAGTCCCACTTGTTAATAACAGGAAAAGTAGCGATATACATCGGCAACTTTGGCCCGTCCCGTACATTAAGAAACGTACGAATTTCACCTATGTTTGACCCCGACGGAATTAAAACCTGAATCTGGGGTTAAAATTAATGTCATTTTCGTCATCAGCACCCTTAAAAACATCAGAAACAATGCAAAAACTCGAATAAAAAGAATGTTCAACAAGCTAGGGCCCACCCTTCCGTCGAACCGAGTTTTCCAGCTCCGCTTCGCTGCGCCCGGCAACTCGGTTCGACAGGGGGCCGGCCCAGCTTGGCCTGCCGGCGGCCTTTTCTCGGGCCTTCGGCCCTCGCATCAGACCCAACTTGGCCAGTCGAAGGCCCGGGCCTTCGGCCCGCTCGCATCACACACACCGTGAGCGGGTAAAGCAAAGTTATCGATGTACCATCGTGACTTAGGCCCGCCCTTCTATTCACAATATGCAATAGTCCTTACACTTTTTACTCCAACTGTCCTTCGAATATGCCCATTTCATTTGTCTCTTCGCCCTCATTCCGAAAATACCCATATTTGCCATGCTACTGCAACTCCTTGCAATAGAGGCACAGCAGGAGCGCAAAACGAGTCCGTCGCACTTTTTTCCCCTAACTCATGAAGGCGGGCTCCTGGACCCCCTTCCGACCCCTCGTTGAAGAGGTCTTGCCAAGACCTATCGAAAAATTAAGTAAAAATTTTCAGTCGGTCGACCCCCCTTTTTTTAAGATCCCGATGTGACTAATAGACGAAGTCGGGCTCCTGGACCCCCTTTCCGACCCCTCGTTGAAAAGGTCTTGCTGAGACCAATCGAAATCTGCAATAAATTTTTTTAGTCGGTCGACCCCCTTTTTTGAAGATCCTGATCTGGCCACCTTGTAAAAGCGGCCGATGGGGTCGGGACCAGGTCCATTCATCTTGTCTCGTCGCCCCGATTCCAAAAATACCCCTATGTGCGCTGCTAGCACCAATAATGGCGGAAATCCCCCTCCCGCTCATGTAAACCATGATGCACCTGCAGCAGCCCTTGTGCGACCCGGACGGGATTTGCACCACCGGATTATTTGTTTGGAAGGTACTCCTGAAGTACCCTCCAAATCTGGTTACTCTAGCTCAACTCCTTCCTTGTACACAGACGCCAACAACAACAACAACAACAACAACAACACACAGACACAAAGGCAAATGCATAGGCCCTCCCCCTATTTTTGAATAGAAGGGCGGGCCAAAAAATACCCCGCTGGGATTTGAACCGGGTCCGAACTTCTCCGATTCGCTCAAAACTGGCACCATTGTTTTTTTCTCGTCGCCCCGGTTCCAAAAATACCCCTACATGCCCTCCTAGCTGCATCCGTTGCCGAGATCCTCCTCGACCCCATGTAGACCATGATGCACCTGCAGCAGCGCCCCCGGGGCTCGGATCGGATTTGCTGCCACCGGGCGGGTGATTCCGTGCGTAGGGGCCGTTTTAGCCACCTAAGAAAGTCAAGTAATCAATCCTGCTTGTTCGGCCGGAATTTGGCCTAGATGGCATCAATTGAACCCCAGGAAGACACTCTGAGCGTGGGCGAGCTAAAAGTTGACTTTCGTTTCCTCCCCCTATAAAATATGAAGAAATTAACTGAAAATATGACGGAAATTACGCTTCACGGAAATTACAAACAGGTGTTTCTGGCTCACTGCAACTGCATATCGCCACAGAAATATGCCATAAGTTTGGCACACTAGTTCGACGTCAAGACACATCTTTTCACGTGTAGGATGTCTTTCAAAACCCAATAGACGATGAGCGAGAGGGGCATACGGAAATTACACCAATTGTTACAACCCACCGATTTCACACACAACTTCCACTCGCACACTCAGCCCCCTCACTTTTTCACCACCGAAATTCGTTCATATGGTAAACAGACCGTGCTGATTCTGAATACGGTGGTGGTTTTGAGCAGGAAGCACTCCTAGTAGTTTTTTTGGTGCTTACTTTGAAACCGCTAAGGTAAAAGTCGGAGTACGGTGGACATTTAGTACGCGTTCTGAAAGTACAGTTCCAATCAATATACGATCTTCAAATTCAAGCAAGATAGTCACTATTAGTTAAAGATTTGATGGGTGTGTGTGGAATTCGAGGATTTGAATGGAACGCAGGGTTATAGAGCCGCAAAGTTGGTGTAAGGTGCGAATGGACATGACGGAACTTACAAAATCGCCCCTTTTGGCCCCTCTCCCGCGTCACATGTTAGCTTTGAAAGTCCGTATCCAAAGGGAACAAGCTATTCTAGTGCCAAACAAGATTCTTAAGTGTATAAATGGACTGCACTCGAATAAGTTCGCTCTGGGGAGGGTGTGGACACGAAAACGCCCTCTACGCGCGGAATCACCCGGGCGGTTCTTAGGGTCACCCAAGGAGGCTGCATACCAAATTTGGTCAAGATCGGACCACGGGAAGTCCTCGGACGAACGGACGGACGGACGGACGGACGGACGCACAGCAGGGATCATACTATATGCCCGTCCCTCCGTCATTTTTTTACAAAAAATGAACGGGACGGGCCAAAAATGATGCTAAAGAAATTGCAACTGCATTAATAACCCATGTTTTCTCAGTTTACGGAGCACCAGTCTCTATCCTTTCGGATCAAGGGACACCCTTTGAGTCGCAACTATTCCAGGAAATAATGGACTTGTACCAGATAAAGAAGTATCGAACAACAGCCTTTCACCCTTCAGCCAACGGAAAAGTGGAAAGGTGGATCAGAACCCTCAAGCAGCAGTTGGCAATGCTTGTAAATAAAGTCCAAAAAGAGTGGGTGAAATATTTACCTCACATAGCTCAGGCGTACAGGAACTTGCCAAATCCAGTCCACAAGTTCTCTCCGTATGAAATGATGTTTGGCACAACAATGAGGACTCCACTCACACTGAATCAAGGAAGCCCACCATGGACAAAGGACGTTGGAACCATGCCACAGCAAATCAGAGAGCGTCTGGACCAAATCCACGAACTGGTCAGGGAGATGCAGGAGTCGGCTGCAACAAAAATGAAACAACGATATGACAACACTGCAATGCTGACCCCATTCAAGACAGGAGACAGGGTCTATCTCTACAGACCAAGAGGGATCAAAGGAGTCTCCCCAAAGTTAACATCACCATGGGAAGGACCCTACACTGTACTGAATGTCTTAAACGACTGTAACGCAAGAATTCAGAAGGAAGCTCACCCATATACCATGATGATAGTCCACACCGACAGACTGGCAGCATATCCAAAATCCGAGGAAGAAACCCAAGCTGCATGGCTCACATACGTCTGAGTCATCCAATAACCAAAGACGACATGTCAACGGGCCAGCACGACTGACCAAAGGTGAAGGAAAGGGCAGCCTGGCCTTGTCCAGGTCTCCGGTATGGTCTGTGGCAATCACCGCCAGCCACCCGCTTGTGGTGCAGTTGTTGTGAAGCTTGCTGTCACAGAACCCGATGGTGAGCTCTCAACCTGACGGCGCTGCTGGTCGTGACTGAGCCGCTCCCGACGAAAACTCCACTTACATCCCGACCCGGTCACGGAACCAGGCCGGGAACGGAAGAGGCAACTTCCAGCCCAACTACGCCGGCGGGGCCGCACCAGGGGGCTATCCCCGACATAAAGCCGAGGCCTTTCCCTGGCAACGACCCCGGGCCCCCGTACACAAAGGGGCCCGCCGGTACCTGGTTCCACTGGCCAGATGGAAAAGACTGTCTCCCGGATCCCAAGCCTGAGAACAGCCCCCGAGACCCCGACACCACAATGATGCCGAGAGTCCCGCCCGGAAAGCCGTGAAACGGCAAAGGTTGGAACGTCCACCAACAGAACGCGGCGGATCTTCTTGAACCACTTGACCCACGACGTCGGTCACAGCTGGGCATCTTCCGGAACTCGAAAATCGGTGTCTTCAAGTTCAAACGTCCCGAGCAGCCACCCGAGTTCAATTCTTCACGGACGCACTCCAACCTTGTCAACAAACAGCTGCGAGGCACCGCCTGCTCGCAATCGGCACTCTGACGCCTCGGAAACAGTCGAGTCCACATAACCTGCAACAGGAGAACCAAGCATGAGTCGAACCGGCCATGGAAGCACCGCCTGCTATGACGAACCGGAAGCAACCGGCCGCCATCTTGTCCTTGCCCGCCATCTTATATCAAAGTCAAACTTGAATCTAAACCCAACTCATCTACTAAATCGGAAATCGGAAAACATCTGCAAAAATGGCCCCCCGAACTTGGATTGCTCGGAAAGGAACCAACGAAAAGGACCCCACCCACGAATTGAAGGATGGAAAGGTAAAAAAAACTTACCAAATACCCAAAACCAGCCACCACAAAGAATGGGCCAGGGAATCGCCACTTCAGCCAAAGGACACTCTAAAAATGGACACGGATAGGACTACGCCACTGAAACAAAATAATAAGCAAACTAAAGAAACCAAAACATCACCACTACGATGGGTCCTACAGAAAACAAACGATCTCCAAAGTACGAATAAAAAACGAACGATCTCCGAGGTCCGCGAGAAGAACGAACGATGTGTCAGGGCACGGATAAAAAACGTTCGAAGCGACAAATTGGTCTTTTCGAGATAGAGCATGATGAAAGTTTGTGGCATGTACATAATTCCCATGCTTCATGAAATAGATTTTTATGATGTATTTTGGAATACCCATACCTTAATGCGCTAGATTCGCACATCAGACCCTTTGGTACTGACACAAAAATATAATCGTATGTATTGAATCATGAAGTCAACATGCAGTGGTTTCATTACATCCTCAGTACGGTATCAAACAAATCAGAAAACAGGTACTTAATTGTTTTTGAGAAAGCCATGTGATTCAGGAGACTTGTGCATTTCAAAATTTGCCGCTGCCGTTAATGGTATGAGAAACCAGGCGGTCTAAAAATATGTTAGGTTAATGTTTTTGTTGTTATGTCATGTTGCAAATGATCCAAACATTACTAAGAAACTGCTTGGACTTTGATCATTTTAATTATGGATTACTTATTGCCCTGAAATCTGTTAGCAGTCACATCCTTAACATTCATTGTGTATTGTATGTTAGCTTAAACAATACTTATGCTTTTGCATCAATCAACATTGCTCCTGAATTTTTGGTTTTCCACTCTGCTTAGAGTCAGGTTTTACATTATAGCACAAATTTTTAAAAAATGTTCTCAAACAGAACTATCAAGAGTTTTATTTTGTTACATTGTTGTGGCTAGTTCTTATTATACATGTGTAACTGTTTCCGAGATGGTGTGCATGCATGTCACTCAGACTACTTTTTGTCTGACAGCTTCTGTAATTTTAGTTTCCTTTCTTGCAGGCAGTTTCACTTTTATAGCCCATCCCTCTGCAGACTGATTGATAGTTTACGGAACCACTCATAAAGAGTTCCGAAGTGATGCCAGTATTTGTGCTATGATCAACCAACGAGGAAGTGAGCCATGGTGGAGAACGATTTCAAAACAGATTCTTAATAAAGATATTTAAGTACTAACCAATAACATTCCAGAGAGTCCAGTTAGTTGTCCTTTCTTTTTCCAACTTAAGCTGACAATAAAGATAAGCATTTTATTGAGTTATTCTTTCTATTTATGCCCCATTCAAACTGGCTAGGGACAAATTGTTAATGAGATAAGGGCGCTTGCTCTCTGCCTTTTCTCAAACCTTTAGCAATCATCAATGTAATGAACTTCCCTTTTTAATAAACATATTTTCTTGTTTTCCTTAAAAATTCTTCTGAAGAGAATGTAAATTATAATGGGGTTAAAAGTAAGTAAAACTTTTTTCAAAATTAATTTTTTTATTATATCCAAGTAATACCTTCAAAGGCAACAAGGGATCAAACAATATGAACACAGAATTGGCTTTTTAATGCAATTAGGAACTGATAAATTAAGAGATCAAACAAAAACTAGAAATAAGATTAGTCAAGAAAAGACTGGAGCTACAAACAACTTAACATTTATTTACAGTACACGAATGCAGACATGTTTGACTTGGTCTACTATCACATCACAAAGAGTACACAAAAACTATAACACCTTCAAAAGCTACAATAAGGTAAGAAAATTTCTAGTTTTACATGAATGGCACACATACCAGAAATAGCTGATCAGAATGTCTCATTACAGTACACGAGCTAGTAGGAACTGAAGGAAAAATCAAGAGATCAAACATAAAAGAGAAATAAGATTGCAGTCGAGGACTAGAACAACTTAACGTTCACTTACAGTACACGAATGCAGACATGTTTGTCTTGGTCTACAATCACATCACAAAGAGTACACAAAGCTATAAATACCGTCAAAAGGCACAATAAAGTTCAAAACTTTCTAGTTTGTCATGACACATATACCAGAAATGGCTTTGGAAACTGACAAAGAAATCAAGAGGTCAAAAGTATTACACATAAGATTATAATCTAAAAAAGACTAACAACAAAAATAACATTTTCTTGGACAGTATACAATGAAGACATACTGGTCTTTGTGTATTATTACAAAAGAGTACACAAAGACTAAGAAAATAAGAGCTTCAAACACCACAATAAGGTGAGATAGTTCTAGTTTGACACAAAATGCACACTTATCAAAGCATTGAAAGTAACAAAGAAGTCAAGAGATCAAAGAACAAAAAATAAAATATGATATTAGTCTTGAAAGGACTAGTTCAACTATAAAAACCAATGTAAAAAATAAAAGTATTAAAGTTGCCTTAAACATAGCACAAAATTATCACAACAGCAATTGACTTTGTCACGACTAGATTTGACTAATTAATCGTAAGCTTCACTGTCTGTTGTGTCACCATCATCTTGGGCATCATCATCTTCATCACTTTCTTCTTCTTCATTTTCCACGGGATCATCCATATCCTCTTCATCATTTTCAAATATATCTTCAGTGTTCGTCACCTGGGGTTCTTCTTCTTCTTCATCTCCACTGCTGTCTGGCCCGTCAACATCCTGAGGCTCTGGGGCAAGAAGTGACTCATAGAAAGGTAGATGGGCTGCAGGAATCTTCTCATGTTTTACAAACCATCCCATTGACGCCTTCACTTTGGGCTTTAGCTTAAGCCTCCCAGTGTAGGCAACTTTTGGCTTGTATGTAGACCAGTTCACTTTTCGCCCAGGCCTCGGCACCAATATATTTGCCTCTCTTGGGTCCATCCGGAGATTCTTCTTTACATAGGCCTTGCCTGGGGCTGAACTTCTCATTTCGATTTCTCTCAATTTAGAGACATTCTGACTAGCCCAGTTAAACTGTTCAGCCAAAGGTCTAAATGTAAAGATATGCTGCCTCTTTACTTCAAAAACTTTGTAGAATGGCTGTTTTACTTTGGCTGTCTTGATCAGGCCGTGCCATTGGCCTGGAGTATAAATTTCTTCCTTTTTGGTCTTTTTTTCAATCCTGGCGTGCACTGAATCACATTCCATTTGAGTGTGGCCTTTAACTAAGTAGCGATGACAAATAGTTATATTGAACTTCATGACAGCAAGATAATACATCGAATAGAGAAACTGATTCTTATTCTGAGGCCCACAGGAGTCACTGTAAAAATGGAAGACTGTTTTGCCTTTCCCAACTTGTCCTTCAATCCAATTCAGCAAGAAGCTAGCAATTTCATCTGCTCCTTTTGCCCCTACTGATTGGTCCCACACATAGCACACTGTATCCTTATCAGTACAATCATATACTGTAAAGTTATAACAGGAGAGTTTACTCTTATAGAAAGCACCCGACACTTCTGTTTTGGGACAGAAAAAGACACTTTGCATGTCAAAAGTGGCTACTACCATATTCTTTTCAGTTTCTCTGCTTGAAGTCTTGTCATCTCTTCTCATTTGTCGTACTAATTCCTTGTCTTGAATGTGTGTGTTATGTGCAACAAGCTTTTCACCAGTCTGTTGGTCTTCAGGTAGATTCTCCCATTGAGCACAATCACCACATCTGTCCTTTTTGGGTTTATAAAAACCCAAGTTGAAGGAAGAATTAAATATGTCTCTGTATTGTCTTATATTGGCAGTGAAAGGTTCATCTTTTCCTCTTTCACTGAGATACATCCTGTGCATTTTAGCACAGGACAGATGAGTGTCAAGGTATCGCTTTCTTGAATCCGCTCGACAATAGTGACTCTTCATAACAGGGAACTTTTTAATGTGGTCAATAACGCCTTGAATGAGAGCTTGAGGCATCCTTCTTCGAGAGTTTTGATGTGAACCCCTCTTATCGGGGCTATTTTTGGTGAGTGCTGATCTGACAACCGTAGCACTGATGTCAAAAGTACTCAGAAACATTTTCCTGCATACTATTTTGGTTTCATTAGTCACCGGGTCAACAAGAGTGTATTCAAAATTTTGTTTCCTGAACGGATCTTGATCAACATCATCAATAAATGCTCTTCTTCTTTTAATGGGGACCTTGTTGACAATTTTTGCAATATAGAACCACTGTAACATCTTATCCTGCAAGTTCCAGTATTTGTTGAATAATGCCTGCCTCTTTTCAACGGGAAAAGATTCTTCACACTTATGAGAGCAAGTAGATCCACATCCTGGTTTCAGACTTCGTGCATTTCTTTTCTGTCCTTTAGCATTCACATATTCTTTACCAGAATTTACAGCTATTTTATTGAGAGTTGTCTTCCATTGACTGCGATTAACTTTTCTCTTTTTAGGAGGTGTATGT